ATATATTATCACATATATATAGAAATTTAAATTATTTATGTCGGTATTTAAAATACATTATTCCATTCCCTATTTAATCTCTCTTTAATCACTCTTTGTTCAAAACATTAACTGTCTGTATAATAAATAGTGGTATATTTATGTGGAATTGTGATTCTTTATGTGAAATTATGATTTCTTATGTGAAATAAACGTATAATACATCATAAGAAATATTTTCCAAAAATCTGTTTTTTCTGCTTTCCTTGTTAATAAAATAAAATAAAAATTTAAATTTAAAATAAAATTTAAAAATAAAAGAACATAAACATTAAAATCTATTCCTAAACAGTTTTTTTTGTATTATATGGTTATTCTTACTTTTTTTTAAACACTTTCCAGCAACGATGTTTGTAAAAATAGCAACCACCTGCAGGTTTACAGAAAAAAAAATTATTTATATTTATATATATATATATACATATATATTCTTTGTTTGTGATTTTTATGCACAAGTTATTCCTGGAATTATTAATGAAACTAAAGATTTTCCAACCGCGCGCAACTGTAGTGATACTATAAATTTAAAAACTAAAGGATGCGTTTTGAAAATGCAGAACATTTGATAGTTGAAACAATACTGACCCATATTGAAGTTAGAAAGCTTAGTAACAGTCGCATCTGCGCTTGCGTTGACACGAAGAAAAGCATGATAAAATATGCAACGTTTCTACGAAAAAATTATTTCGATAATTCTTTCATAAAATGATGTTAATTATAATAATGTATCCAATTTATAATTATATCGCAACATTACAGGAAGCGAATATAATTGTATGCCCTGTCACTCATCTTCTGAGAAAATAGTTCTTTACTTTCTATACTGAAATAAATTTTAGAGGTATTAGAAAAAAAATTGATTACGCTATAGAGGGAAAAGGATAAGTCGATATCTTTCATAGATTTCATATGTTGTCCAGTGTTCGAAGAGAAATGATATTATTGGAGGATCAATACTACGATATTAACCGGAGACTTTTGTCAATTGCGGGGTTGTAGCCTTATCAAAAATGGAGATTCAGAATTATTCCAATTATGTTTTTTCTTAGCGTGTTAATTTCTTTCCTTATTGTTCAGGTTTATCTTGTGAAGGATATTTTTTAAACTATTTATGTATAATTAAACGTGGAAATTAAACTTCTATAATTAAATTACCGTTTGCAATTAGCAACATTCGTCACATCAGATTTCAACATAGATATTACTTTAAAAGTGCTCTCGAATGCATTACCTTGTTTGATATACATCTTGAAATAAAGTTTTTTTCTGCTAAACAATAGAGAAGTAAGTAGACAATATCCGAAAAATCAGGCAGAACAGGCGTATATATAGTGTTCAATATACCGTAGTCGATATTATTATTCGATATTATTTCGATGTTGTCATACATATATTCATAGATTATTCGAAAATATAGATAAAAGAATGCTAGCGGGTTCGTCACGAATAGACGACATTAAAAGCTCCGGATGAAATCGACATACTAAGAAAATATGCCGATATCACCAAGTTATTCACGATAACCATAGCGGATAAGGAAATCAATCATTGTACCAATTACTTCGATTTTAATCATTTTATTTCTACCCCTACAGATTTATTTTTAAAATGTGAAACAGTCACCATGAGTTATAAATTCGAAATAATTCATTTTAATAACAGCAAATTTGGATATTCTGATATAACAAAAGTTTTGCTATATCAAAATTTGATTTTAAGTCAGTATAAATTAAAGTAATTATATTTTCTAGATTATTTTGGCTATTATGGCTATTTTGGCAAATCTTGAGTCGATTTTTCTTTTATATCAATTTTATCTTTGAAATAAAAAAGAATAGTAATGCGTTTATACTGAATTAATTGTCTTAAACTATTTATTACTTTATAAATTATTAATTCTTCAAATTAAATGACATGTAAATTTTTTAAATATAACAAACAAAATCTGAAGACACGGTAAATCTTGTACCATATTCTTTTTTATATTTTATAGTGATATTAAGTCTTTCTCTGATCATCTTCAGTATGTTTCAATTTCTACTAAATATTCTCGATGTCGTTAAACCACTTAACGAATCTCGGAAATATTATGTCTTATACGCAGCCGAATATTTTATCGGTCAGCAACGATACTTTTCTCTTATTGTAATACATGGTCTGTTTGCCGCTTACGTCGGAGGCGTTGGAGTAACCGCTACTGGTTGTATGCTTGTAGGATACGCATTGCATGTCTGCGCCATGTTAATAAAGATAGCAAGATAAGGATTGCGAACAAAAGTTATAAAATGGTTCAATTATTAAATGCCAACGATTTCGTCCATTGTAATAATATAAAATAAATTAATAGTAATTATTTAATATAATATAACATAAAAGAATATAAAATAACATATATATATAGAAAATCTATATATCATATCTATATATATATACACATATATATACACACAATTCTAATTAATACTAATTAGGAAAATTAGTAAGCCACACACGAGATGACTTAATAATCCGAAAACAATTGCGCACAAAATTATTATGTCTGTTGTCTCATTCATTCAATATTTTAATTATCCCTATTTGTAATTTTGCATTATAATAATGTAATAATGAACACAGAACTCTCTATTTGACTAAATAATTACCATTACATAACCATAAACTGCAATTTGGCTGAAAATTGCTATTATAATTTTCCATATAATATAAATAATTAACATGTTTTTTTCCAATAAATAAATTACATAGAAATTTGTATGCCTTTGCAGTTATCGTCTTGAACATATAACTGATAAAGTATCATCGGCGTTTAGTTCCAGCAGAGATCACATTGTTCGCGAAAGAATAATTGATGCCGTTGACATTCATCGAAGAGCGATCGAGTTAGTATTCCGAACACCAAAAAGATCGGAAAAGTCTACCAAACTAATATTATATAGTTATATAATTTTTCACATTTTATTTTTTGATAATAGATTCGCCGAATTTATGTTATCCAGATTTATGATTATTTACTTTATTTTAATTGGTGTAGGCATCTCTCATCATTAACCGTTAACTTGTTTCAAGTGAGTATACATATTTCGGCTATTCTATGCTTTAACATGCCATGATAAATATGTATCTTCAAAAATTTAATTATATAAACAATTTAATTTATATTCGAATTTTTTGTATATATTATCCATATGATGAAGAAAAAATTAATCTTTAATGTCGTTTGTTCTATTTTTAAATTTCTCAATAATTTCCAATTCTCAAAAAATATGAAAATTATACCGAATTAATCATATATATGTGTACATGAATCATGTAGGATAACAAAAATTAAAAAATTTTTCATAAAAAGAAATTTATATTACAGCTAATACATCTTACGATGTCGAATGATATGAACGGAGTATTAGCATGTATTTTAATAACGCGTATCGAGAAGCTAGTAAGAATACGGTTAGTGTGATATTTAAAATATGTTGTTGAAAATATATTGATAATGAAGGAGAAGAATATTTATTAGCTGATTATATATAAGAACATGTATAAATATATAATCTATTACAATCACATTTTTTTGCACGAAGCAAAATTAAAAAATGTATCAAGTATTACGTTAGCGTTTTACTGCGTCATTTTGTATTTTTCTTCTCATATTTCTTTCGATTCTAAAACTATGTTATCGTTTGCCCAATCACTTTAATGTCTTTTATTATTCGTGATGTGTCCTTTATGAGAAAATTTCTCGTATAATTAAAATCCAAATATGGTTGAATAAATATCTTTTGAAGCGAACATTTGTTATTGAGAGAAGGCAATATTAATGATTGCCTTTCAATAGCAGGAAAGAAGTTTCAAAGAGGACTCTTTCTTTCTCAAAAAATCGCTACATTTATTTAAATTTATTATTAACGCATCGATATATATATCTTTCTATGACAAATTTTACTTACGTAAATATGTGCGCTCCATATAAAATTACTTTGCACTATGAAATTATCTTTTAATAACCAAACTCTTCCGTAATACACATACACACACACATATATACACAAACACACATCATCATTATCAAAAGCACTCACTTAAGAGAACAGTTGTAGCGCGCTGCTCGACATCACGGATGACAATGAAAAGTCGTCGCAGCAAACCGTCTGAAAACACCTGCAAATAATATCCCTCCTTTTTTTCTCACCTCGCGCCTGCGCCGAGGTGAGAAAAAAAAGGAGGGATATTATTTCTCCCTTATCCTGGAAAAACTACATCTGGCGAACATAACATGCTATTTCGATAATTCAACTTCCTGTCGTTCCCTTCGACGCAAAAACACGAATGCGAACAATCGATTGACTTCCCCAACTCGGAGGGTACCATAAATGTCCTCTTGATTATATGCTAGAAAAATATTGTAGTAAAAAAACATGGGTCGAATACGAGAGAGTTAGATAGTTAAACCACTCTACTGGAAAATGTACCCCTCATACGAAACCCCATACGGTACTTTGATATATATACAGGGTGCGGCATTTATAGTGACGCGGGCATTTTTTCGGAAACTATATATATTTTTTTTTTGTCGATATATCTTCGAATTGCTGTGAGAGAAACAGACTTCGCCGATAATCGTTATTACAAGTCAAATCAAATGTTTCTTTCGATGCTCGATCTGTAGCCATATCGACGATTAAAGTTCGCGAAAATTGTGTTTTCCATTTTGCTGTAATGCTGTTTTTTATGCTTTTCAGGTGTTAATTCTTTTCTAAGTATTATATATATTAGTATTATATGAAATACATAGAGTCTTCTTACTATCTCCATTAATCCGTCATTCTTTTAGCTAAAATAAAATTCTATATATATTTAAACATTAATTTATTGCTAATTTATTCCTGATCTCAAATATATTGCTCCTACGATTTACAAAATTTTTATTAAAAATGAGAGTACTAATATGACGTTAATATTCTTATTTTCGACAAATACTTATAGCAAATTGTAAAAAAAGGAGAGATAGAGAGAAAAAGAAAAAAAGAATAGTTCAAAAATGGACTGAAATGCTCACTGTTAATATATATTTTTGACATCTTTTAATTATTAATAAAGTATTGCGCCATACTTACTGTGCTGGCTCTTAATTGCCTTTTTATTATTTTTTCTATCATTTTATTTAAACTTATCAATATCATAGCATTTTACTTTAAATTTATATGTTCAGAAGGACGTACGCGATTATATGTATATATCGAGATATATTGATTTTATATCCTTACTATTTTCACACACACAGTTGACATCATTTCTAACTCTCCAATTAACTGTGAATTTCCTTGTTATGGTCCTCTCGTACGCTGTACCATTTCTCATATATATCGTACAATACTATTCGTTTTATACTAAATCCAACGAAGTAAGTTGGCTCCTCTGTCTCCTGTCATTACTTCTTGCTTAACACATTCGGAGTTTATCTGAAATAATCCGACCGCAGGTGAAACAAATGTGGAAAATATTCGTGATAGTTGGAGTCTTTTGAAAAACGAGGCGAAGCGTGATATAATGCGGCAATATTCATCCTTTGATGAATTACATACGACACTGAAAGCACATATATGAATTCTTTGTTCGAGGATTTATTTAATCGTTAAATATAGTTCACTATTTCTTGCGCTCTTCTCTATACAAAGGCGTGCTTCTCGAGTCGATATCGTCATATTTAATGCATAAATTACCGAATTAATTTTTATAATATGCGTCGATTGCAAAATAAATATATAGCATTTAATTATTTTAAAAAGAATTCGATAATTAAATTATTTTTCCATTATCTTTGGTCATTAGCATATCTCAGCTCTAAGATGGCATTTCTTGAGCCTCTAATGGATAGCTTTTACAGTAATCGACACACTATGATAAAATGTAATAACATAACGTAAAGTTCGATCTTGTATGACGATATCTGACGTACACACGCGGCTTACTCATGCGCTTGCGTTAACTTAGAAAATGTTACTAGAATTTTTTTTTTTTTTTTATCTCTCTCCCCGGACGAGAGATATTATTAGATGTTGCGTGTATATACTTAAGATAATTCCAATCCATTTTCTGTCGCGCCTGAATGTCGGAGAGATAATAGTTAATCGATCGAGACTTTATTTGTCTTCCACACGTGCAAGTAATTCTGCAATTATTATTATTCACATCGAACATGCAATATCTAGCGCCTCAAAGAAGGGAGAAAAGGGTTCTCGTCGTCGAGAGCGCATATGCAATTCGGAATTCACGGAGAGATGATCGCGGAAAATCAGCACTACAATATTAATTGTATTCTTTTACGAATATGCGGTTTGTGGCCCTATGAAAATACGAAATTTCGGTATGTACGAGTAGTGTTCTTATACGGAATATTAATCTCCTTCGTGATTTATCAGGTATATGTGTCGATCCGATCAGATGGAAATGTTTCAGAGTTACAACCATTTCGCTACAATATTCTTGATATCTTTATACTATCGATTTTAGTTGATAATTCTGTTCGTCCACGAATACAATTTTAAATTAGTCCTGAAGATCAGTTCGGAGATGCTTCCTCTTGTTATTTGCATATTGCAATTCAATGCCTTTGTATTTAATTCAAGAAATGTGAGTGATTCTCCAGTTCAGGTTTATAAAAATCTTAAATATATAAAACATTCTTGCGACAGGTTTACTTCGTAAAAAAAATATTTTATATAAATAGAGTATATGTAATTTAACATACGTAAGCCCCGTTAACAAAATTTATAATCACAGTTTTTGCTTGTTTTTTAACATAATTATCTTAGTCTATGGTTGCATGAACGACGACAAAATATTTGCTTTTATTCAATTTAATCTATTTAATTACGTAATGTGTGCAAAAAAATTTTTAATTGTAAGTGATTTATAGGTGAAGCGACTATTAGATCAGATTTGGGAAGATATGAACGTACTGAAAGATTCTAAAGAAGTTGAAATAGCAAAAGAATATGGGAAGTTTACGAAACGACTTACAATCATTTTAATCCGTAAGAAGTTATTTATGATAGACTTCCTTGATGTAAATGAATGGCTCATTTTTACAATTACGTTACTTAAAGCAGTCTATAAATATTTTTTTGCAATTCAAACATTTTTTAGTGTACACAATTTTAAGCTTGTTTATTGTGATATTGGTGCAATATATTCCGATCGTCATTAATGATCCCGTTGCGGTCAATAAATCTTTCTTAAGACAAGATAATATTTCTGAGGTATATCTCGGTAAAAAAGGATATATTTACTTTTTCATAACCGACTTTGTGGGTGGATTCATCATGACATCCAGTATAACAACGATTATGGCATACTTGCGACACATTTGTACGATGCTCAAGATCACTTGGTAAGAATCTTGCTTGTTTATATCGGATATTTCATCAGAATATTTTCTGATTGTAACATGAAATGTTTATAGTTATCGTATCGAAAAATCATTGGATGAGAATATTTTACGTATGTCTATTTCTCAACAAGAGAAAATGATATACCAGAGGTTAATTAGTGCCGTCCACATTCACCAAAGATCTATGCAGTTGGTATTAGTTTAAAATAATATTAAAGAGAATGAATTTCCTTTCGAAACGTATATTTAAATTCAATGTACGAAGAAATATCTATTATATTTTTAAACATAATATGTTTAAAAATGTAAATTATCTTAATTATTATACATACATATATACACCACATGCACTCAAATATGTATTTGTTTGTATTTGTTGTCGGTGTGTACTTAAATTTTTTTAGATTTGCAATCTTATTTTATTTGCGACAAGTTTGAATCTTTCTTTTCTAAAAATTTTGTTTATTATTTATTATTTATTATAAATTATTATAATGAATCATATTTCGTTATTTATTACAATATTTAATTCACTTTGAAATAATAAATAATACAAGCGATATAAATACATATAATATAAAATTTAGATTTAGATTTATTCATTTTACCGTTATTTAAGCTATTGTTTTCCGCGTTTATTACGTCACATAACCGATCCGTAAATGATCCGATAATAGATATCGGATTTCTTTGCTGTTCTAAAGATTCGCTGAATATGTTTTACGTGCCTTTAAAAGATCCTATTTAGTGTTGATTGGACTAGGCGTGCTCTCGTTGGCCGTTAATTTATTAAATGTGAGTGATGTTTAGCTTAATTTATCAAACTGTATGTATTCTATTTCATTTTAATACTAATTCCAGACGCTACAAGCTATATTAATTTTGGATAGTATAAATGACCTTATGATAGCTATTTTCTATGTTATTCTACATTTCATTTTTTTTTTTCCTGGGGAATTATGGCGGACAGGCAGTTACGGACCATAGTGCGGATGTACTAATAGCATTGTAAGTATACAGAAATCATAGAATTTCGTGTGATTTATATAATTATTAATAATAGTAATATTGATTTATATAATTATTAATAACAAATTTAAAATAAAATAATATAATAATAAAGTAATGTCATACATTTAAATATGCAATAATGAATAGAGCTTCTACATAATTTTTAAGATACAATATACAATGGTACATGGCACCCTTACGGGTACAAAAATTGATTCTTTTCTTAATACTAAAAAATACAAAAAGTTATGGTCTTGTCATTGGAGGAATATACGTCGCTTCACTAGAAGGTTTTATTACAGTAAGAGAATTTTTTATAATCAACAGTCACGCGCAAGCATTTACCTAATTACGATAATACGATCATCACACATATATCGTGAACAAATTTTTGCTTCAGTAATTTTACAATTATTATCAATTTCTGCGTAGTGTCACGCGCGTTTTTGCTTCCTATAGAAATGTATTTAAACCAGTAAATAATACTATATATCTGTGTAATAAAAGATAAAAAATAATAATTTTAGCTTATGAGTATGTCAATATCTTACTTCATGGTAATCTACTCTACGCAATGATAAAGATCCAATACAACAGAAATGATTATAGAAAATTGCGCGAGGTGTGATTGGATCAATGCTGTTCATTAACACAAAATCATAAATAAATATATATCTTCGTGTAAAGAACATGACTGTTCAATATTCACGAGAGCGATGAGTTCTAGTATTTCAGAAAATATTGCGGAAAAACATATCGTAAAATAAAAATATCAAAAATTATAATGTTGCATATGATAGTCCGTTTGTTATAATAGAAATATAGAGTTATAATAGAAATATTTTATACAAAATATTATCATAAAAATATCGATTATTATCTTTTGTTGCATTTATTCATACATTCTTATACCTTTGTTTTCTAAAAGTACGTTATACAATTTTACAGGAAACCTTTTATATTATAAAATGAAAATAACCATATCCTTTGCGACGTCTTGAACAAACTATGATCGAGAAAATTGTTCGCGTTTAAAATTATATAGTACAATTACCTATAATTATATATCAGAGAGTTGGTTGTAATTTTCTATGGTGTTAATATTAGAAACGATTATTGCTTTTACAAATTATTACATCACTCACTTAGGTGACATATATTCGTCTTGTTGTTGGAAACGATGTAAGAGAGAAATAATTGAGGAATATAACTTTGTGAAAGAAAGAGAAATAATGATCTTCACGACGATTTCACAATCGAGTTTCAGCACTCGCAGAGAAGTATTCATCCTTCTAGAATATTATAAGTACTATGACTTAAACCAAATGCTTTTTGCTGGTTAGCGAATTACGGCCCTTTCAAAAGTTAAAGTTTAGATGCATATATATGTTTAGATTCATATATATGTTTCAACATATATATATATTCATATATATGTAGATTCATATATATGTTTTTCTTCGCCTTTATACTCGTCATTTATAATGCTTCGGAAATTGAAGTAAGCTTTCTACCCGCAATGTGACACAAAAATAGTTTTTAATATGAGGAAATTAAAATATGTAGATAAAAGATAAACTTCACGTTAATAATTTAAGAATCACGAATAGTCCACATTTCGTGTATTACAAAAATACAAAATTAATATTTCGATTTGCGACAGTTGCGAATTGATATTTTATCGCTATACAGCTCGCACAACCCTAGTCACAAAAGTGTTATCGATCGTTTCTTCCTATGTCATGTGCGTCCTGAACTACGGCATTTTCTTCTTTAACGGCGAAAAATTGAATCGCTCTTCTATCTGTATGTATGTGTGTGTGTGTATGTGCACATATATATAAAGATACGTATACTATATACCTCTTTTTTCTCTTCAGGTTCTGATATACATATATATATTTTCGATATAATTTCAGTTCTCTTTTGATCAAACTAATTAACAAACATGAAGCACGTAGATACCAAAGACACTACTATGATATGAAATACTAACTCGAATTATAATGAATTACCTAAATCTTCCACGAGAATTATAGTCTTTACACTAAGGTCGATGTTTGAGAAAAAGAAAAAAGAAGATATTTATTTCTAGAAAAAAGAATTATGCGACAATGTCGCTGGATTGCCAATTTTGATATTATCTTGATAGCTTATTTTATCATCAGAGTTTCCTTGTATATTGTTATTAATTTTATTTTTATTATAAAATATAACGCATATTTCCTACTTGCCGATAATGTAAGTATTTACTTACTTTTAATGTGTTCAAAAATTTCTGTCTTTCTATAAGCTTTTTAATAATATTTTGGTCATTTTAATTATTTTTTAACTTTCTGATTTAAATAATGCCATATATAATTTAATTATTCGGTATATTACAAATTTTATTAGATACAATTTTAATATAATTATAACGAAAAATTATTCGTATCAAGCGCATGGGCCCAAGGAACTTAGAGAATATTTACCTTGTTATTTACTAGAATAGAATATTTACTTTGTTTATTTGCAATCATAGATAAAATATATATTTGATAGAATTCGATACGATTGGAATTTGTTAAAGACTCAAGTGGAAATAATACGAGGATACGCAGATAACGCAAAATTATATACAATATGTTTTGCATGTAAGAATTAAAATCAAATGTCAGTCGCATCTCAACATTCAACTCCTTTCTCCGACATATGTTATTTTTATGTGTATCACATCAGCATTATATTTATTTCTTAAGAAAAATTAAAATTTTATACAAATTTCGTAAAATTTTTAACAATAGCTTAGGCCTCCATACAAATAATATCACATACTTTCTTCAGCACACTAGTATTTCTGTAATGAAATTAAAAGATATGTTGCTCTAACGATTCATAGTTTTTTTTTTCATTTCTTATGTGATTCTAGTACGTTACATTCATCATATTTAATAGCTGATCTGTACTTTTGTACTTTGTCAAATACGTGACATAATTCATGTATTGGTGAATAATATAATAATAATATTGCAGTGTTGGTTACTATCTCAATACTGACAATGATAATATTAAGCTATATACCATGCATACTTGATATAATCGTGCCAATGAATGACTCGCGACCGCTACGCTTACCAATTTTAGTGGAGTATTATTTCGTTAATGAAGAAGTATACTATCACACTATTTTAACACATATTATTGTCACCATGTACGCTGGTTGTATCACAGTAACGGCTATTGCAACATTACTCATAGCATATGTACTGCACAACTGTGCCATGTTTAAAATCGCCAGGTAAAAACGAGAATGGTTTTCTTAAATCTCACGAGTAACAAATTAATTTATTCTGATAACAGGATCGAAAAAAAATCATTGAAAAAAGATTAAAGAATGAATTGGACGGATCAACTACGTCAAAAGGTTATAAATCTAATACATTCTGAGATTCATGAATTTGACGTCAAATTCATAAAACTCGAAATGTATTAGATTTCTTAATTTTTGACATAGTTGATCCGTCCAGTTCCTCCTTAATAGTATCATCGTACTTTCGTAGTTATCGAATGGAACATATATGTGACGAAAATGTACAACAAATACCAAAGAATTTTAAACAATATGTATTTTATGAAAAATTAATTCATGCTGTATATATTCATCGCAGAGCTCTGGAGTTAGTATAATATAGTATTATATATTATTCCTTTGTGTGCATTTGAAGCCTTATTTTGCTCGGGTAATCTAAGACAAAATTATTCTCACGATATATTATAAAAATAAAATGTTATAAAATTTACTGTTGAAGTTTGGCCATTATTTTGACGAACAGTTTTGCGACATTGTATTTCATATTGTTAGTATTTGGAGTGTCTTCGACTATTCTCAGTGTTCTTAATGTAAGCGTAAATACGAAAAAAAATACATATATCATGTATAACAAAAAGTTAATTATTATTACGAATACAAATACAAAAAATTATAAACTCAAAAGATATAATTAATTAATAACGTTCCTTCAGATTGTCAACGCAGTATGCCTGGATGATATAAGAGAATTATTGATCTTTAGTGGCATTATATTTCTACATTTGTATTACATATTTCTGGGAAACTATGTCGGGCAGAATATTATAGATACCAGCTCTGATATTTATCAGTCAGTGTAAGTATTAAATACGGTTTATACAGTATAACTCTTAATACATTTCTAGATTCTTAATTTTAGCGACTTTAATGCT